AGGGTGTGGTCTGTAGGGCCCTTTGCTTTCAAGGGCCTGGGGCTGAAACAGAACTGAAGTCAAGATGTTATCTTCAGCTTGACTGAAACTTTCCTCTTGTGGTCAACAGATCTGAGGCTTTGTTCTTAAGACATCTGATACTGACCAGAGTCTGATGTCCTAAAGGCTTAATGATAAAGGAGGTGGTAGATGGAGAGGAAGGAGAAAGGATCATGTTAAAGAGATTCTGAGCAGTTACATTATATCCAAATGCAGTCACAGTCTGAATTATGAAGGGTTAGGACTTTGACAAAGCTACAAATTTTTGAGAGGGATGCAATTCAGTCCATAACACCAAGTAATATCATTATTTCCATTTCTACTCATAAGAAAAGCCCAAAGCCCAAAACTTTGCTTAACACCACACAGGGAAGTCCAGGAGCTTGAATTTGGAACCAAGTTGTTCTGGCTCCATACTGAGTTCTCAACAATAAATAAATAAATAAATAAATAAATAAATAAATAAATAAATAAATAAATAAATAATTTGGGGTACAATTAACTTTTGTTGAACTTTATTTATTAGAAAGTTTTGAAAAGGTCACCAGTTTTCAGTCAGGCCGAGATAGTGATACCAAAGTTGACTTAGGGCACAGAAAGTCAATAGAAATGAGAGAACCCCTGATTTGCATCATTACATTAAAGGCATATATGAACTTCTAATGACATATATGAACTTCTAATATTTGTACTTCAGAATATAAAGAGCCAAATGAAAAGCAAAAAAAAAAAATCAAAGGAAGGTAAAGTAGCTGTCTTTAACGAGTTTTTTTTTTTTTTTTTACTTCACCCCTCTAGTTTCTTGTTGAGTAAATTTAACCTGAAGTTGAAGGAGATGGAGCCTAAGCAATCAGGATCATTACCTATTTTAAAAATGTGCTATAAAACAATCACTCTTAGGGCTGATTTCTTGAAATACCATTTTTGAGACAAGCATCAACATCTACAATGACTCACCGGAGTTATTTTTAGAAGTAAAAAAATTCTTGCATCACAATACAGGGTGTCCCCCCAAACTGTATACACACTTTAACAGCAGATAGCTTAATTCTGAAAATGAAATGTACTTTAATAAACACGGCCTATATAATTATTCAGGGTGTGGGTACCCATTCTTTTGGGGCACCCTATATTTTTATTCTTAATAATGCCTCTCCTATATACTATTTCATGAGACAGCTTCCTTTTTCTTAAAAAATTTGATTAAGTTCTAAAAGGTTGCTTTTCAATGGGGGTGAATTTCCAAACATAACATTATTTATTGAACAAATATTTATGAAAGGCTATCTGCCAAGTATTGCTGTAAATACTGGGGATAAAGTACAACAACAACACAGAAAAATGAAGGTGAAGGGGAGAGAAGGAACAGTTCTAGGAAACTGGAAAGGATCTGATGAGAGGTCTTGGATCTTTGGCAGAGGAAAGCAGCTAATCCTGTGGACCCTGCAGGGAGGGAGCTGGGAGGAGAAATGTCCTGACCCCACTCTCTGTCCACCCGCCAGTCTCCTGCCCAGGCTCTCCGCGGGCCGAGCCCAACGAGAAGCTAGGAGACCAGGGAGCTCAGGGATGAGATGGAGCTGCAGGGGCAGATGGGGACACTGCCCACCCACTTCATTGGTTGGAGGGGTAGCTTGCGCCCATATCACTGAGGACCTGAGGAAGCAAACTCTGAAAGCCAGCGGGAGGAAGATGAAGGCTGCTGGGAACGGTGGTTGTCGAGTTCCAAGGCTCTGCCCGGTGCAGAGGGGCCACCTCCTTGCAGCAGCTGGATGCACAGGAGTCCAGCAGGAACAAACAGCCCTAGGCAACAGCAGGTTGACAAAAGTTAATCAGTTTGAGTAACAATTGGGTGCTGAGAGCCAAATCCGAGAATAAGAATCGTACAGAATTGACTATCAAATATGAAACACACAGGGACAGGACAGCCACAGGAGAACTTGTAAATGACTCCTGTGTTTATCAGCTAGGTCTCGAGTGGACAGGATGTCTGCGAATGTTTCAGTAACCCACACAGTTCTGCTCTGACGTGAACCGTGTTTGTTAGTAATTCCAGCCAAAGAAGTTCAACACGTATTCACCGCACGCCCTTGGGATGGCAGCGCCTTCTCTACTGAGTTCACTGAGATCCTGGATAAAGTTCTAGAAAGAAATAGCTGTGTTTTCTGTGTTTACTCACTTTACAGAAAAGGAAACAGCAGCCTACTTTTTTGGTATTTGTTATGCACACGGCTGAGGAAATTCTGGAACTTAACAACCATGTATTTTGGGAGAAATTTTAAAAAGCCTAAAATGGAAAATACCGTAGGTTGGTTTTTGTTTTTTTTTAACTACAGGACTCAAAAGAGCCTTAAAGTTCACTTGTACTTGGAAAAAAATCCTAGATTTTCTGAAAAATCTTTCAGAAAGAATTTTTGCTATCTCCTTTGAGAAATCATTTTGCGTTCTAAAATTCCTTTTTCATGCATAATCAAAATTGTACTGGATGCGATAGGCCCCTTCTCACTGACATCTTGAAACAAGGCTGGAATTCTCCATCACACCTTCTTGGCCAGACAGAGAACATGAGTAACTCCCACACCCGCTTACCTGGGCGCCCCGTGACTACTATCTAAGTGGAAGGGAATAAAGGTGTTAGTGCTGATCTGCATATTAAATAAGAGGACACCTAATTTCTCTCTTTGGGGGATATTTTCTTGGATACATTGCAATGCTATTTAAAAGTGGCAGCATAAACAGTGTCACCCATTAGCTTCTGCAAGGGTGGGGTATGAGTCTCAAGAGTTCAGCCAGAGGAAAAACCAGTAGCTGTGTATTAAGGGGATTACTGCAGGGCACTGGCGTACGATTGTGCAGGCTGGCTGGGCACGTCTGAAATCCACAGGGCAGGCCATCGGGGCGCAGGCTGACCTCTGACCTCTCGGGCATGAGCGGGAGCTGCTGTCCCCACAGGTGGAATTTCTTCTTCTGGTTAAGTTTTACTTCTGCTCCTAAGGCCTTTCAGCTGATTGAGTCAATCCCACCCAGGTCATCTGGAACAATCTCCCTTAAGGCTGGCTGATTATGGGCTTTAATCATATCTATAAAACACTTTCACAGCAATACGTAGATTAGTACTAGTGCCTGATTGAAGAACTGGTGCTACCGCCTAGCCAGTGACTCAGAAAACTGACCAGCACGGGTGACCATTACCTCTGCGGTCCGAGAGCAGTCACAGAGTATCAGTCTTCTTACATTCACACAGAGACAGTAGTTAAAGTCAGCTTCTATATCCAACCTCAACAATTCAATGTTTAAACAAAGTGTAAGATGCAAAATTAAATAGAATCCCTTGTTATACAAAGTCCACCAAACCTGCATCTATTGCTGCTGCTGAGGGGGTAGATTTCTTTCTACAATAGCCCCTTGACTGTAATAAAAAAATGTGCATATAACAACTTACTATAAGCACTGCTAGAAAGCTTTTGCCCATCCCTGCCTGTTCTTCATGAGAAGACACGGAAGATAATTTAAAAATAGGCTATTGTGTTTGTTGTCAAACTTTTTGGTCTCAGGACCTCTATATGCATCAAAATTAGTGAGGAGGATCCTAAGGAGCTTTTGTTTGTATGGGTTATGTTTCTGTCAGTTTGGGCTGCTATACACCAGGTGGACTCTCTGGGGAGCTGCAGACTGTACACAATTTGGGGGGGTTTACCCTCCGAAGCCCACCTGAGGAACCTCTGCCCCCGGAGTCCACTGACTCCAGGCTGGGAATGCTCGGGCTGGGGTCCGATAAGTACCCTGTTAGAAACTGCTTTTCTAACACTGAGACATACAGCTTGAAACCAGGAGGAAAGTAAGAGAGGAAGAAAGGGGGAAAAAATAAAGGAAGGAGGGAAGGAGAATTAGAAAGTGGTTGGCTCAGTAAAAGTGTTTTACCTCAATGCTTGAAAGACCAAAGACATTTAAGAAGGAAACCTGCTCATATTTTGCTATATGTCTAAGATTATGAGTAAAATCAATCTTCCCTTAAAAACAACTCACTGCATAAATTAGATGTCTGCTTGAGTCACCGTTAACAAATTAATAGGAAGACAGAAGTGCTACGTAAAGTATTGTTTTGTAGCATATCATGCTGGTAGCCTGGGGTGCTGACCATGAGTGCAGGGTAGAAATGGGTACCTGCAGAATAGAAGCAGTAACCTGATTATCAATTAGGGATTTAAAAAGTGAAAAGCATTGAGGAGGTTTTAAGTGAATACAACATTCCACAATGATGCTTATCATTTTAATAGCTAATCACTTATAAACATTCTGATACAATAAAGCAAATCAGGCACCAAAACTCCTTCCCCTTTAAAACACAGGTTTGCATTTACCAAAGACACCATTCCGAGATAAAGGAAAAACATGATCAGCAGGCAGTAATGCTTCTGTCTTGGTCAATGAAAATTTTTACGAAGGGTCTGGAAAAATAACTGGACATAGCACTCATTGGATTAACGGAAGCTGGGCAGAAGGTGACATTGCAGGTCTGAGGACAGAATTAGTTAGGGATGTGGTAAATACAAACTAAATGGTCTTGAAAGAAAACAAATACAGGTATTCTCAGTAGATATACCCTAAATAAAGTGAGGAGACACTCAATATCTAAGACACTCAAAAATTTGGGTACGAATATTTGCTCTGTAAGGCACTGCAGGGGTCAGTGATCCAAAATGTGAGTCATACAAATCACAGATCTGAAAAAAATCCCATGTCAAAAATATGTCCCTGCATAAAACCGTCCCTCGAATAGGCTTTATCAGGGGTGTGGAGCACAGAGGCAGATTTCTAGGAGAGAAAGATACCATCGGGGTTTGAAGAGGAAGACCTCTAAGAAAAGGCTGGAGGGATGGAGTATTAGACAGGCAGCAAGAAAATGTTACTGAACAATTTAGTAACAATGGTCCCCTGTATAAAGGATCATTACACAGACAATGGAGGTTAAATTTTATTTCTATTTTGCGAGGAAAGCAAGCATATGCTGCAGTACAAAAGATTTGGTTTCAATATAACAAATTCAGTTTCAACGAACAAAATCAGTCTTGAGAGTCACTGATATTAAATAATGGAACAGGATACAACAGATGGTGTGGGACCTCCAAAGACAAGACACAGAGTCAGCCCCTGAAGTGCTGAGGAAGGCAAGGGAAGGCTAGAGATGTAATTTTGGTCCCTGCCAAGCTCTCGAGCTGTTCTCTGAGGTGACACTTTTCTGCTCTGTAACTGTGAGAGTGAAGTGCTCGGTTCCTCGGGTGCCCATGTCCTGGCCTGTATCATTCCCATGGCCTTCAGGCTAATGCTTCTGCTCTAGACTTGATAATCATTAGAGGAATTCAGCTTTGGGCTTGAGTTTTTACAAAACAGCTCGTCCTATTTTCCCTCCCCTGGATATAAGGAAGCCCGACCTTTCTGCTTGCTTAAGATGGATTTGAGGAAACTCTGAGGCCCCCGTCTTCTCATCACTAAACACTTCCTTACTCCAAACTCTGACGTATTGAATACTGGCCTTTTTGAAGTGTTGGGTACACGAACTTTTGGCTGGGTAACAACTCTACTAACACCGCATGCCTAGCCTGAGAGCTGAATTACCTTTGGGGTTATCAATTACCACATGGTCCAACGGAAGACTTGCAAGTGGTTCACATTCTACACAATGTAACAGAGGTACATGCAGATTCTTATACATTCTATAAAATATAGTTAATCCATCCTACTTTGAAGAAATACCATTCGAAGATTAGGTTTCCTTTATCAGAGTAGCCAGGCTTAAAATGCATTGCTTATACTGCACTGTTTTAATGATATTTCATTTTTATATTGGCAGGCCAGTTACAAATTACGAAATGGCCTATTATTGTAGGATTCTGTTTAAATTCTAGAAAAACTGAAAGATACTTTTTATTCAATTTAACTAAACCCGAGGCCATTTAGCATAGGTGATTTTGCATTTCTGAGAGACTGTCCTTTGAGTCTAATAAACATAAAGGTCTCCAGCACACCGAATCTTCGGAGAACCAGTGAATGAGAGCAGGGGAGGTTGCAGAGACACCATTTCTCCATTTGTCCACTCGAAATGCTTAATCTCACATTGCTAAAGTCAGTTCCTACCTATTTTGATAAATACTGTTAGGCTTAATAATTACTTGTAAAGTATTTGTGATTTCCATGTTGAATTATCATGTCAGGAGTTTTTAGTTTGTTATTAGTATGATATGAAAGGGACCAGCTGCTAAAATCAAATGCATGGATCATGCTGCCGAGAGCACGTACAGGGAAAAAGGTGGAAGCTGCAATAAACACAGCAAAGCTACCTGGGTTTGTGGCGACAGCATAGAATCAGGTACATGTATTTTACATTGTATATAAAGAAGTCTTTTCAGACTTACAAACTCACCCTACGTCTCTAAGGACTGGATCTGTCTCATTATTTCTCAGTTTCACTAGCACACCACCCGTTTAAGAACAACTATTTATAAGCACAGGGATATTCCAGAGAATATGAAATGATGGAAGAAGGAAACAAAAAAGTCCTTTGCTTGTGGCCAAGGAGACGTGGGGGTTAGATCTGTATTTGTTTTGAACAATTATTTGGAAGAATTGTCACAATTGTTTGAAATAAATAACAAATGTCTGCAAAATATGAGATTCTGCAATAGAAACGATTTTGACATATTTTGTTGAGACCAAAACAAACAAAAAACAACAAAAACACACCACGCAGTACGTTCTACAGCTCAGAAATTAAATAAATCCCCAAATTTCAACTTCCACTAAAATATTTATTTGATCGGTGATATCTTACAGAAATAAATAAGAGCAGTATTTCCTCTAATACAGATAGGTGTATTATATGTATGTATATATATAGATTTTTTACAAAATTGAAGCATATCAAATTGCTTCCCCTACAACGTTAGCTCAAAAGGAACACTAGGAAACACACAGAAATACTAAAATACGCTCATCATTAAATTCTAACCACGGGCTTTCTGAATCTCGGCAGAGCAGGTGAGTGAGGAAGAACGTGCGACGTGGGTCAGGGGACCTGAGCTGCCTGGTCTAGCCTGTATGTGTCATAGGCACGTTTCTCAGTGCTTCTGAACCTCAGTTCTCCACCTTTAAAACAGGAATGATATTAATGATATCAACTTCCCAGGACTGTTGGGCAAATTAAACACATGAATGTACAGGAGAGCTCTTTATAATATGCGAAGAGCTATAAGAATAATATTCTGTTTAACCTCATATGAAAGAATCAGTGCATCTCTCCCTTCACCGAAGAACAGGCACCAAAAGTGTGTGTGTTTCTTCAGCTGAGTTATGCCAAACCCAGAATAGGAAAATGCACCTTAACTAAGCACCAAAGCACCTCGGACAACTGTGATCCAGGGGATGTTTCTAATACACTTTTCTGCGTAGCTAAGTAGAAGCTAATGAATCCTGAGGGTCATTTAAAACTTTGAAGGCTCAAACAAAACAAAAAACAAAACAAAACAAAACAAAACAGGAACATTTCTGCTACATCAAATGGCTAGGATATAATAAGCTACTACTCCTTAGTTACCAATTTCAAAGTCCATTAATTCTTCACAGAAGAAGAAATACTAAGTTATTAGCACTTGCAATTATTTGCTTATGTAAATACAACATTTTCTTGTTTCAAAGATAAAATACTGGTCTTTGAGATAAGTACTAGTGGAATAAAATAACAAACCCGATCATAAATTTAGATATTTGTGTTTAAAAGTCTAGTTACACAAGAACACAGGAAAGGAAAGGAATGCAAGACATCAGTATAATAATGATTTAAAAACCTGCCATATTTCCATGTCATAATAAGAACTAAAGTTACAAAAGTTGCAATATTTACATATACCTCAATCTTAAAACATGTAAAAACAATAAGAAAAAATAAAAGTAGAGAAAGCAGGTTAGATAATTTTAAGGTAAATATTTAAAAACGCTATTTGAAGTTAACTGCTTACACTGACACTACTTAACATGTAAGAGAAACAGAGAAAGTGTTGTTTTGATTTTTCGTGGCAAGATACAATGAAAAGAAATAATTGCCTAATATTAACTTATTGTTAGGAGTTGTACTACTGTAAAGTTACTATGAATGGAGTTACAGTCTAAACCTACTTAAATAACTGGGAGTTAATATAATTCATTATCTACTTAAAATATTACTTACAAGATATTGCTGAATTATGTGCTAAAGATACTAAAGGCCCTTCAAAAATGTGACTCGTGTTGGTTGAATCAGGTCATATAAAACTAGGCTAGTTTACCTTCTCATATTCCAACTCTTTTTAAGACTGACCTTATCAAAAGAAACATACCTATTACCTGTCTTAATTCACTCAGATATAGATATTCTTTAGAACAAAAATAAATGTTTTATTGGGAGTGAAAAATTAAAAATCTTTATAGATCTTCTGGAAACAGCATAGTGAAAAGGGTACCATAACTACTAGGACACTGTACAACTAGAAAAGAAATTCATTCACCTAAGAATAGTGTGTACTGACATCTACTGGATATTTTACTTATAACTTTGCTCCACAAGCTATGGCAGTTTTTAAATGCATTGGAGTTTGCCGACTGAACCAAGTACTTCACTCGAGCTCTTCAGTTTCTTTGGTAAAGAGGTCTGCCAGATCAGCCACGGTCAGGACGGAGGCCTCTGGATGCTTCACCGAGGAGTTGGTATGACTGCAGGATTTTCCAGGTGAGCGGAGTCAGAGAGAAACCCCAAGGAATAAATTATTTCATTTGTCTTATATATTGCTCTAGTCTTATAATAATAAAAGATATTATAAGAATATAAAGATATTATATTCTTGTAATAATATAAAGGACATTATTTGTTCCTAAGTTTTTGTAACTGAGTCATAAGAAACTCCCAGAAGAAAGCAGGTGATGGGAACATTATTACATCTTGTTCAAATTAGTGAAGACGTACGTCTATAGATTATTTCCAGGCTTTGTCATAAAATGCTTTTTCCCTGCACAACTAATAAAACAAAGAAACAAAACCTCCTCTATTGTTACTAAGGTTCTAACCTTACAATTTACCTTCTAACTATCCAAAGTTAATTTGTTTCAAGAGAATTTCAACAGATCTTCTAATTGCTATTTTATTGAGGCGGCTTAAATATAATCACTGGGTTATATGGAAACAACAACAAAAACCCTTCATGTTTGAGGCAAAAAGCTCTTGTGGTTGCCTCTTTCCTTCCCATAAGCCACTGATGGAAGACAATTTCCAGTTTCAAACTGCTTTTTTGCCAACTATGCCAAGTCCCCCTGTGGACACATCCCCTCTAAGGAAATCATCTCTGCCAGGCATATCTTCCAATCACACTTGTCTTACGAGGATGCAGTAGGCATTTGTTTATGTGTTTTTTTAAAAAAAATATGTCTTTTACTGATTTCAGAGAGAGGAGAGGAAAGGAAAGGGAGAGAGAGAGAGACAGAAACATCAAGGATGAGTCATTGATCAGTTGCCTCCCGCACGCCCCCTACTGGGGATCAAGCCCACAACTCGGGCATGTGCCTTGACTGGGAATCGAACCTCGATCTCCTGGATCCTAGGTCGAGGCTCAACTGCTGAGCAACACCAGCCAGGCTGTTTATGTTTTCAAAATGACTTTAAAGAACACAAGTTATGAAATAAATATACAAAGTTTTAAGATCCCAAAGCTGAGTTTTTAAAATTAAGGCTGTTTTGGTGTCTGCCGCTGTTCTGCCTTTGGAATTAATACCACAATTACCAGCGGAGTTTTAAGTCCAGACCTTTGTCTCTGCATGTGAGTAACACACGTGAAGTTAGAAGCAGCGCTTCAGTGTCGTTTTACAGATATCAGATGAAGGCTTTTAGGTGGGGCATGAAAATAGATTTCACTTAAAAATCCAATGTGGCAAAGAAATGTAGGATAGTTTAAATATTTTATACATCACACTCCCTATCAATATGTTAAGTCAAATATAGAATGAACATTAACTGAAAAATTTTGACCAAGTAAAATGCCGTACATTGCTTTTAAAAAGTACGTACACTTATATCTTTTGGTGACTAAGTGGTTACCCAAGTGAAGAAACTCCAGAAACATACCACCTTACATATAAACAGAAAAATCTCCCCACTGATCAAGGAAGCTGTCACCTACCTCTTCTCAGCAGTTTTCAGCATTGCTTGCATCCTTTCTTCTATCGTTGCCTTAATTAAGAATCTGTGTACAATAGTCGGTCTGGGGGGTACATGACAATTACAAATTTAAAAACATTGTAAAACGAATGGGAACAAACAGACTTCGTTTAGTATACGCCGTATCATCAGTTGGCAGAAACTGACCACAGTTCTCCGTGGGTGTCCAGCAGCAAATATAACAAACTACTTAACCTCAGGGAAGTAACATTCAAACAAGGGAGACATGACAAACACATAAACAATTATTACTGAAACATGACTGAGGGGAATGAGCCGAAGCAGTATCCGAACAGAACAGTAAATAAATGCAAAGTCCTGGGAAGAGAGCACGCTTGGCACAAGCTTAAAATGTCCGAGGGGCAGAAAGGTTAGGGTGGCAGTAACATTGTACATGTGGGACAGGAAGGTGAAAATGAGACTACAGACGCGGGCACAGGTCAGACCACGTAGGGTCCTGTAGGAGACAGCAGGAATCTGGATTATATTGTGGCTACAACAGGAAGCCGTCAGTGGCTTTATGTGTGATTTGAGTTACACTTGATTATACTTTAGAATCCCTTGGGCTGCCATGCGGAGTGTGGACTGGTAGGCAGCGAAAATGGAGAGAGAGAAGCCAGTTAAGAAGTTCTGCTGTCAGCCAGGAAAGAGGGTGGGTTGTAAGAGGATGGGCTGCACCTTGGTTGTATCAGCAAAGGCAGTGAGCAGTCAGTAGATCTGGAATATTTTTTGGAGGTGGAGCTGACAAGACTTAAATGATGGTTTGGATGTGAGGAATGAAAAGAGAAATACGGGAGAGTCCTAGGTTTCTGGTTTCAGAAACTATAGGTGATAGGGCCACAATCTAAGATGGAGCAGCCTCGGGGTGGGTGGCAGGGTGGTAGGAATACAGTTTCGTTTGCCCGTGTTCATCTCGAGTTTTCTATTAACTAGGCATCCAAGGGAGGCGTTGAGTCCCCAGGCACAGGTGCAGAGGTAGACGTGGGTACGTGCATCTGGGAGAGGAGTTAAAGGGACATGTCTGGAATACACTGAGCCTCCCTACTTATTACTACAGGTGAACCATCCACACTCCCGCCAAAACTAGTCTCTCCGCTGAGAATCAGACCTCTCGCCACCCAAGGCCTTTGTTCTAGCGCTGCCCCCACCTCCGGCTTCATCGGTTCCGTCTCTAATGAGTCATTCTCCTATTATTTCTCCCACATGAAAGGGAAAAAGAAAACAAAACAAAAAGCCTCCTTGACCCCACTCCCTTCCTGCTCTCCGCTGTCCGCTCTCCAGAGCAGAGCTCCTCACGACACTAGTCCCACCAGCTCCGTGGAGTCCGAGTGCACTGTGGTTAAAAGCAGGGCTGTGGAGGCAGAATGGCTGTTTGAAACCTGCCACCACTTTATTAGCCAGGTGACCCCGGACAAGTTACAAAGCCCTGCTCCACTATACAGTGCTTGTTAATAAAGAAATAAAACCCTACTCCACCTTACACTCACATCGGGCCCTCGCCTCCACTCCAGCCAAACTGGTTTTGATCTCCATGCTGCTGAATCTAACGATCACATCTCAGTCCTTACCTTGCTTGACATTTGGACAGTACACGACACAGCTGACCATCTCCTCCTTGAGTTACACACTTATTTGCCTCCGAGGACAACTCCTGCTTTTCTTCCTAACACGCTGTTCGATCTTTATCTCTCCTCTTTGCTGGTCTTTCCTTCTCCCAGAGCCTTTAACTTTGGGGCCCTCTGGAGTTTCATCCTTGGTCCTCTCTACCTACACTCTCTCCATCGGTAACCACATTTAGTCCTAAGACTCAAAACTACCATTATAGGTCGGTTGACTTCCAAATGTATCTCCCTAGCCCAGACTGTGCTCCTGAACTCTGCACATCTATAGCCAATTACAGACTAGACATCTCCATTTGGATGTCTAATAACATCTCAAACTTACATCTAATCAACAATAAAGATCTGCCCCCCCCCCCC